TCCTCCCCTGCGGGCGCTCGGTGCTTTTCTGACCCTCATCCTATCTCTGTTCGAACCTTCGTTTCTGCGGCCCAAGCCCCCGACCTTGCGGCCCAATCCCTGTCCTTGTACCCCTCGATCCCCGCCCTTGCACCACCCCATTTCCAGCCTCTGCGCCCCAAAACTGCATCTCCGTGGCCTGAGTCCTCATCCTTGCTGCCCAAACCTCACCTCTGCGGCCTGAACCCCCACCTGCCACCGCCTCAATTCCTCCACCTCTGCCTTCCTGTCTCCTTCGAATGCCCCCCTGCTCCTTTGCACCCCTTCTTCTGCAGTTTGATGATCCCCCTCTTGCTGCTGTGAACTCCCCCTGTGCTGCTGTGAACCCCACCACACCCGCACACACCCCTTTCTATTTCTGCCCACAGTCAAGGCGGTCCGTGCTGTGAACATGGTGCGCAGTTTGCAGCTGTCCCCATCCTTTAAGGGACATGGCAGCCAAAAGCGCTGCTGTCGACCTCACTGGATTTTGTGGGCTGTGGTCACTGTGAACCCCTGCAGGAGAGGAGGGTTGTAAGCTCTGATTGTTTAAAATGCCTCCTGTACTCAGGTCAGGGGCAGGCAGGCCTTCAGCCTGGAGGTGATTTATTCAGGAGACTTTTACAAATAATCTGGATTGGAACCTCAGGGAGGAAATCAGCTTTATTTCTGAAAAAATAAATACAGGCGCTTCCCTAGCTACCAAGGCTAGGCATTTGTCAGTCTGCTTTTGGGCTTAGCGTGGGGTTGCTGAATTACACCAGTTGCACTGTAGGCTGGAGTAGAAGCCAAGCTCACCTTTGCCCTAGAGGACCCCCGTAGCACTAGAATCGCAGCAAATGTTTCCCTAAACCACCGCACACATTTTGTTGCAGGGCACATCGGCAGCAGACCTTGAAGCACTTTGTTTGTGCCAAATCATTACCACTTGCCACATGAGTCTAAATCATGACGGATGCCAAGTACGTCCTCTGCAGATGGGAAGAGCGATTATGGCCTGCAAAGGTGACAGCCATTATTGTGTAATTTTGGGAATTAGAAATGACTTTCAGGTGACAGGTAAAATCTCTATCAGGCTCTGAAATCTAGGAGTGGTTTGGGTGAAATAATTGAACCTGAGCAGTTGGCTCCCAGATCTCTTGGCACTGATTCCCATTCCCCACCTAATGGGGTTTTGATCTAGTGCTTATGAGGTTCTACTTCCGGAAGTGTCTTTTTTTTTTTTTTTTGGCCACACTAAAAAGATGGAGCTAAAATAACGGAGTCAGCTATAAAAAGGCATGTAAGGCTCTGACTCAAGGAAATTTCTGGCAGGAAGCCCCGTGATAGTAAATAACAGAGGTGTTTTGGGGATGTCTTCCAGCAATTGAGGAAATGCTGGACTGAACAGAAAAGGCTGGGTCCTGCCCTGGGATCATCTCTGGCCCCCAGTGCCTCAGTTTCCTCATCTGAATGAAGGAGGATTGGACCTGGTGTCCCTGAAATCCTGTGGTTGTTACCTTGAAAAATACTTGCTATTCGTATATTCACGATTTGCCTCTGTTTCTTTTTTGGTACCAGGGATCAAACTCGGGCCCTTGTGCTTGCGAGGCAGGTTGCAGAACAACTGGGCTAGATCCCCGGTACCCTGCCTGTTTTTTTTTTTTTGCCCATCTTTTTGTCTTAATAACAAGGATTATTATTTCTTTGTTTTGTAAAAATAGGTTTTGGACGGACCCAAGACTTCAACAAACGACAAGGGAGAAAAGGAATTCTTTCTAGATGTTCAGATACTCTCGCTAGATGAAAAGTTAAGTGTTTTGTTTTTTTAAGAAGTGTCCTTTTTTTTTTCTTTCCAGGGTTTCTGATTCTTGCCCCCCCCCATGAAGTCCTGTTTTAAAAGCTTATTAACCCTTTTTAGTTAGTATCACTTTTTTGTGATAATTGCTCGGATATCCTTATGAGACCAGAAGTGATTTCATTTTATGCTAGTTTGGAAGTTGAAGATCTAAACAGGGCTTCCTGTACAGAAAGATGGGTTCAGAATTTGACTGAATATAAATTCTATGCAGTGTTGGCTCACTTTAGGGTCCACAAAGGGACATCTTTTTTTGATAGATGAGTGTGTCTTATTTCAGGAACCTCCGTGGTGGGCCCAGTGATTTTTGGTGTTCAGGGCTTTCGCCCCAGTAAGAAACTTTCCAGCACATCGGTGGCTTTGGGGCATGTGATTCTGCCCTTGGTTACGTAGTCATGGGAAGTTGCAGGCCATCTGGAAGGATGGTGATTAGTGTGCTCAATTGGTGTGGGACTAGACTGTGACTTTGGCACATCGAGTGTCAGATCAGCCCCTTCTGAAAGAGCCGGTCCCTTGGCTGCTGCTGGCCCTCTTTCTCGCCTCCCTCTCTCTCCGTTACGAGGTTTCCCTGCACTCTCCTCCCCATCTCCAGAGTCCGCCTGGCCCCAGCTTGGCTCTCCCTGCGGCTGGGAAGGTAATTGAATACTTGAGTTTAAAAGGAAAGCGCATCCTTTTAAACTAAAACTCGCCTGCTGGGCTGTAAACAGCTTTTAGTGACATTATCGGCTACTCTGGAAACCTAACAAAGGAGTTATTTGTGCAGTTGAAAGTAGGATTTGCCTCATAAAAGTCACAATTTGAATTCATTTTTATTCTTAAGACCAGCCAACCTTTTCTGTTTAGTTTAAAAAAGGAAAAAAAAAAACCAAAAAAAAACTCAACCACCTGCATCTGGGTCTTAGCTCTAACCTCAGGCAGGCGAATTCCTAGTTGGCTGGGACTTTTGGTGTAAGTGGAAGGTTGAGAAGGAAAATGAATTTAATTCTTTTGTCATCTAAAAGAAAAACATGTTTGAAAATGTCTTTGGTGGCCTTGGCTGGTGGCGTGTAACAGTCGTTTTCTGTCTCTGCAGAATTAAGGTGAAAAGCACAGAAGTTGAGACCCTGAAGAAGTCTCAGATTGAGAACATTGCTTCACTCTTGGGTAAGAGACTGTTGTTTCCAGGGGGCCATTGGGTCTAGTGCAGTGAGGGGGTTTGCAAGAAGGTAAAGACTCAGCTCTCTAGGTAAGAAATTGTCCAGTGCACATTCCCATAGGAGGGGAAAGAAAGAAAGGAAAGTAGGAGTGAAGGAAAGGGGAAAATGCATTTGCTTTCATAAGCCTTTCCAAAATGTGCCCCTAGAACCAGTCCTCCCCTTTTTGTGTGGATGAATTATTATTATTATTATTATTATTATTATTACTATTATTATTTTTAGACAAGGCCTCACTGTGTAGTCCAGGCTGGCCTTCAGCTCATGGTGATCATTCTTCTGCCTCAACCTCTTGAATGCCGAGGTGAAGTGACAGGTGTACACCACCACGCCCAGCTTTTCCTTTTTCTTTTTTTTTTTTTTTGCAGTGCTGGGGAACTTACATGTGCCAGGCAAACACTTTATGGCTGAGCCACATCCCCAGCCCTTTTTATTTTTATCTTGAGACTGTCTTGCTGAGTTGCCCAAGTTGGCCTTGAACCTGTGATCCTTCTGCCTCAGCTTCCCAAATAGCTAGGATGAGGGATATGCACCACCATGCCCGCCCTGTAGTCCTGTTGTTGATGTAAGGTTCAAGGTCATCTCTATCCATTGTGGCTGGCTGTGCTCACAGGAAAGCGTAAGCGCCTCTGTGAGGAGGGTTTTTTCTTTTTCTCTCTGCCCATCCACAGGAGGACAGTAAGGTGACCATGTTAACCCCCACCCCCGGCTGGTCTGGTTCCTACCAGTGCTTTGAGGCTGTGTTTGACCTTCCAGAGGGGAGCAAGGACAGGTGGCCCTGCGCCCATGGTGGTAGCTGACATTGTCTGCAGCTGACTGCAGGTGTGGGCCACACTGGCAAGTGGGAACCAAGGCTCTTCTTCCTCCTCGACACTTAATTTAATAGCATCTGCCCCTTTGCACCTCCTAGCTGAGAAATGACTGTGTGAACTCTGCCAAGCCAAGGATCTGCTACACACGTGTGCACGCGCACACACACACACACACACACACACACAGCTCGGGGGTGTCAGCACCTAGTCTCAGCTTGGCAGTCCCAGAATTGTGTTTCTCCCTCAGAGTGGGAGTATCTGTTCAACTGGCCAGGAATTGCTGGTCTTGTGAAAAAAGATTGACCAGAATTCTTTCCCACGGCATTTCTAAAGCAAGATCCAGTTCCCTGTGTCCCCAGGAAAAATTGCCATTGTTCGGAGCAGGCTCCATCCCTCCCTGCCGCAGGTGGTGGACCACGTCCCTGATGGCGTCCTTGTCGTGGGTTTCAACTGTATTGGGGGGCTGGTTACTTGTGGGTGCTTTTAATATTAAACAGGGGCCAAATACTGTTTGGATTGAGGCATTATGCCCGCTGAGTTGTGATATTACATCCATCATCTTGTTCAAATAAGTAGCGCCGTGTCTGTATGTCGGAATGAATAAATAAAACTCTTGCGGCAGGGAGGATGGGCCAGAGAGTGAGGCCCAGGATGAGCTTTTCTGGCTTTGAAACGCCCTTGCAAAGAAGTGAAGAAAATGTCCCAGTCCACAATGAGTCTTTTTAATCGGCCAAGCCTCACCCCCCCACCCCGCACCCCAAGAATACGCTGCCAACGACGTCCTTTATTTAGTTGGCATTGGTTTTTATTGACCCTGATTGAATTTGAAATTGTAAGGCAGAGAGAGGATTTGCAAAACATTTGAATACATTTTGTTCACAGTAGTGTTTTGTAACTTGGAGGAATTTATCTTTTTAGCCAATCAGGTTAAGGTCAGTACATTTTTTTTTCCCCCACTTGAAAAAAAAGATCGCAGCCCTGAATGAATAGCTGTCTTGTAGCTTTGTCGCCTTTTCAGGGAAAACTAGAAATGTTAGGCCTGCCCTTCACTCACTTGGGGACATTGGCTGGCGGTGACAATTGGACGGCGGAGCTTGAGGCCAGGCTGTGGCGGTGCCCAGGTCCTTGGACGTAACCGGGCACTGTGTGTTTCTGTCACTGCAGCATCGCAGAGGGAAGTCCCCACCGCGCCCCTGAAGGAGCTGACCTACAGACGCTCACTGCGGGTGGCCCTGGATATTTTGAATGAGAGAAGCAGTTTGAGTCTGGAAAGCACCTCAAGGCAAAACAGATCTGCTCGGTGTGGAAGGGAGAACGAGCCCACCGAAGCAGCCTCCTCGCTCCGTAACACTCTCTGTTCTCCCGTCCGTGAAGATGTGTCAGCCAGTTCTGGTCGGTCCGCTTGTGAAAAACATCCTGAGCTCAAGGTGGACCACGAGAAGGGGCTGGGGAGAAGTGAAACCCCGGGGGCCCTGTCAGCGGCTTCAGCTGGAGCTGGCCCTCAGGATGGGAGCGGGTGGAGGAGCCGCACAGGTCACACCGTCACCAGGAGGAGGGGGAAGAGTGCGGCCCAGAGGTCCAGCCAGTGCCAGGAGGCACCTGCCCTTTTGGGGGTGCAGAGCGAGGAGCAGAACACAGGCCGGGCCTCGCTGCCCCAAGCCCGGGAGGATGATCCATGTGCCCGAGCCGAGGGACATGACCCCGGTTTACCATCGGGCAGCCTCACAGTCCCGGCCCCGGAGAGGGCTGAGGGGCACCTGGCGAAGAGGCTGTGTCTGAAGCCACCTGCCACACAGCTGGAGCTGGAGCTGTCCCCCAGGCTGCGGCCCCAGGGGTACATGATTCTGCGCAGTGCTGCTAGCAGCCCTTGTCCCTCAGACACCCTGGTGGAGGACTCGCAGCCCCCTCGGCTCCTGGACAGTGGCGGCAACAGTCTGGAGGAAGGTAAAGTGTTTCGTGGCGCCTGCCACCCACCTGGCAGCCCGGGAGGTGGAGCTGGGCTGTGCCAGGCCAGACTGGCAGGCAGGCGCTGGGGTATTTTTAACTAGATCTTAATGAAACCATTATCAAAATAGATCGGAAGCGGAGATTTCTCATTCCTTTGTGTTTGTCTCCACACTGAGCTATAATTACTTCAACTTCTCCCAAATATTTGTTTTTACTTTTGTTTGGGACTGGAGGCCAGAGGAGCTCAGTGCAGGCTGCTCGTGGAGCTTCTTGGGGGGAGCACGGCATCCAGCTCCAGGATTCCCCCCTTCTTTTCTTTCTTCTTTTTCTTTTTTATCTTCTTGGTATCGGGGCTCGAACTCAGGACCTTGTGCTTGTGAAGCAGGTGTGGTACCACTGAGATAAATCCCAGCCCCACACCCTTCATTCTTTTTATCCTCGCACAGCACCAGTGCCTTTCCCTGTATGAGGCAGGATGGGCAGACGGGGTGGAAAGGCCTGATGTGAGGAACTCACATACCTCGCCTTTGTCTGTCGTAACCTCATAGCGTCCCACTTATTCCTGAAATGCTAATTCAGAAATTTTTCTTTTTGGTACTGGGGATTGAACTCAGGGCCTTGAACTTGCAAAGCAGGCGGTGGAACCACTGAGCTAAATCTCCGGCCCCCGATTCAGAAATGTTAACTACTGCACAGTCCATAGGTACCTTTACCCTGTCTCCTGTAAACACTGGACAGGGATCTCGCCATTGTACTGACCTCTTGAGGCTGTATCCCTGTGCCTGTGGCAACTGCGGGAGCCGTTTGCCCTCCTCCCCGCCAGGGAAGGCAGTGGCACCTGCCCTGTTTTGTAGTTAGCTCTGGGACTCTGGGACCCACTCTGCGTGTCGCCCCTCAGTGCTTCAGGCTGTGGAGGAAAGGACCACACCAAGACAAAAAGAATTCCCATCCAGAGCTGCTGCCCCTTACGGCCTTCTCTCCTCAGGATGAGAAAGGCTGTCTCTGTCCCTGCCTCTGTCTTTCTGTGTTTATTTTTCTTGAGATGTAGTTTGTGGCTGAACCCTTGCCTTGCATGCACAGGGCCTAGAGTTTCATCCACAGCTCTCCAAAGAGAATACACGAACTGTGCTTGAACCAAGGTACCCTGTCTGAATTGTGGGTGGCATGGGATTTTTTTCCTTTTGCACTGATAAAGCTCAGGTGCCTTGCAGTGTTTTCTTGAGATGCCTCTCCTGGGGACAATGCAGCACAGTGACAGTCTACCCTCACGTTATTGGCAGACCCTCAAGCTTCTCAGGAGCGCACGGAGTTTAATTCCCACAACTCCACCCTGGATGAAGAGGAGGAAGATGAGGAACCTCCCAGAATCCTTTTCTATCACGGTAAGAGGACTAGAGCGTGGGCCTCGGGTTGGGACAGTAACATGGGGGAGAAATGCACGCCAGTTTCCCCACCCTGTTCTGCCTTCTCCCAGAGTGGTCTGTACAGTCTCATTACTCTCCTACTGAACCAAGCCCTGGTGGGGTCCCTGAATAGGGGCTGCATTTTCTGTCCTACACAAAGAGAAGAAAGGGGGTTCCCCGAGAGAGAGAGCCCAGCCCTCCCTGGCAGCTCATGGCTTCTTTCCTTGGCCTGCAGCTCTGGTCCTCCCGTCCCGGTCCTCTCCCTGTAAGAGGGATGTCACTGTATAGCAGGGCTCTGTCGCCCTCCTTTGGGTGTGGCTGCACACTGCTTCACTGCAGCCGGCCACCTTAGTGTGGCGTGGGGGTGGCTGTCTGAGCACCCCTCCCGCGAGCTGCATTACCCCAGTGCCACTAGGGCGGAAGGGCTCAGGGCTAGCAGGGCCCAGAGGGGGAGCCAGCACCAGCAGAGGGTCGGGGTAGAACCCAGTGCCTTTGTAGGTGCCCCATCTTTACCTGGGGCGACCATTCCCTCTAATTTGGGAAGAATTATAGATTCCAGGATGGTGCCGAAACAGTGCAGAGAGGTCTAGTGGGCCAGTGATCAGCTTCCCCCGCTGGTGACAGACCGCAGAGCTGCAGCTCCAGTGCACATGCGCGCGCGTGTGTGTGCGCGCACTTGCATGTGGGATGTGGGCTTGTTGTGTAGCCTTTCCTTTGTTCAAACTGCTCAGTGCTCGTCACCATTAAATGAGCAGTACTATAACTCTTTTCCTTTTTTTCCCCCACGAACTGTGAACTCAGACTTTTTTTTTGCGTTTCCACATGGTCTGATTGCCCTTTAGTGGTGACCGGTTCCCGGTTCGTTATCGGGGTGATGGGTCATCCTGCCCCCAGCCCTCCCTCGCCAGCCAGTCCCCTCCTGTCCCACGATGGTGACTGCCTCCACCCACCTGCTGTCTCCTCAGGAGGCGTTTCAGGGATTGATTCCCCGGAGTGGGTTGTGTGGACCACAGGGAAGGATCCTGTGACTTCCACTGCCACCGGCCAGGGACAGGGTGACTCGACACAGCCTACCACCTCCAGTGTTTTGCTGGCTTCTCCTGCCAAGGCCAGAACTGGTCCCTGTCTTGAATATCACCTGTCGGGCCAGCCTGTCCCCGAGCACTGACCATGGCTCACAGAAGTGGCCTGGGTCCATGCCCGGCCCTAGGGCTTAGAAAAGCCATTGCCCTCACAGGGAGGGGGACGGCCCCTACCTTGAGTCACTGCATGTCTTTCCTGTTTTGCTTCCCTTTTCCTGTGGCTTTATTTTTTTACTTCACAGACCTTTTTTGGTTTTTCACAACCAAATGTGGCAGCTTCTTCCCTCTGTGTCCCGGTCAGATTGCCTGGGCCCCATATGTCAAGGAATAGCTGTGGCTTTTTCCTGTTACTTGGCTTTTGAATTATTAGATTACTGACTTTATCTTGGGATTTTTTTTTTTTTTTTTTTTTTTTTTTTTTTTGTGGTACTGGCGAATCAAACTCGGGACCTTGCACTTAGAAGGCAGGCACGGTACCACTGAGCTACATCCCCGGCTTCCTTTCCTTTTTCTTTCTTTCTTGGTTTTTCTTTTCTTTCAGTTATTGTTGGTTTTTGTTTTGTTTTGTTTTTTTGAGAAAGGATTTCACTATATTGCCCAGGCTTGTCCTGAACTTCCAGTCTTCCTGCCTCGGTCTCCTGAGTGCTGGGATGATAGGTGTGCACCACCACACCTGGCATGCGATCTTGTGGGGGTAGAAAATTCTGTCCGTAAATAATTTTGTGATTATCTCATCATTTAAATAAATTTTCCCTCATTTTAAAACCCTTGTTTCTCGGATATGCATCTTCCAAATGAAGATCTTAGGCCTGGCTCTCATTGTTTGCTATTAGCTGATTTCTGTTTTATCCCCTCCTCTTTTATTTTATGTATTTTTTGGATCTGGGAGTCCTCATACACTGGGCAAACCGGTTCAACCACTGGGCTGTACCCCAGGCTGAACCACACTCTTAAAAAAATACTGTACAGTACTTTGAGATTTGTAGAAATTACAGATACAGGAGAGAGGGCGCCTACCGGCCGCTCCTGACCCCAGTACTGTGGTCCCTGCCAGGACACCCACACGGTGCCACACAGATTGTCGTGTGTCCTGGGGTCTCGCGCCTGGCACCAGACCCCAGTGACATGGGCTACAATCCTGCCTTGCAGGGGCTTTTGACCTCCTGAGTGAATTGGGTTTAAATTGGGTTTAAATAGTGTCAGGAGAAACTTGTTTTTTCCTCAAGCTTGCTGCTTACTGCTTACTGCTTGATAGGGATTTTACTTGTCTCTTTTCTCTTTTTTATTTTTGTTTTTCTCTTCTTTCCCTTTTTTATTTCTAGAACCACGGTCGTTTGAAGTAGGAATGCTAGTCTGGCTTAAATACCAAAAATACCCCTTCTGGCCTGCAGTGGTAAGAGCGATCTCTTCCCCTCTCTAAGCCATTGGTCCCCCATGTCCCGCATGCCCCCATTCTCTGACCCTGGTGGGTACTGTTGGGTTTTGTTGCTGCTGGAAAACTTGGTGGAGTGATAAGAAAGAAGGCCAGGGACACAATTACCTAACAGAAGGGGCTTGATCACTTTGGTGCAATTTAGTCTGAGATTCACAGGCCAAATTTGTACCAGGCGGACTTAGGGAAACTTGCTTAAAAAAAAAGTGTTATGTGCATACCTGTCATCCCAGCACTCTGGGGAGGCTGAAGCAGGAAGATTGCCAAGTTCCAGCCCAGCCTGGGCAACTTGGCCATTTGGCAAGACTTTGTCTCGGAGTAAAAAATGGCTAGGGATGTAGGTCAGTGAGGAGGCCCTGGGTTCAGTCCTTAGTACCACTAAAAGTAAAATAAAAAGTGCTTTGCTCGTGTTAAACATTGTGAGGATCAAGTTTTTTCCCTTGTTGAAGCGCATCAGTTTAGGTTTTGTGGCAGAGATCAGTGCTTTACATAGAGGAGGAGGTGTTTGCAGGTGAGCGGAAATTCACCTGGGGGTTGATGAACCCAGGAGAGGCCAAACTCAGGTTCTGAGCTCTTGTACACCTGGGTGTGGCATGTTGCTAATTTCTTTCTTTCTTTTTTTTTGTTACTGGGGATCGAAATCGGGACCTTGTGTTTGTGAGGCAGGTGGCGGAACCACTGAGCTAAATCCCTGGCCCTGTTGCTAATTATTTCTGGGGGCCAAAGGTGCTCTCTGGGCCCTTCTTTTCTCCTTCGTGTTTTACCCCCATGTCGTCTTCTGGCACAGGCAGGGTTCTGATTGTTTTAGGTTCAGCTGTTCAGGGTTTTTTTTTTTTTTTTTTAAATTAAATTAAATTTAATTTAATTTTTTACAGTTCTGGGGAGGGGTGAACCAGGACCTTGCACAGGTCCACCAAGCACTCACCCCTGTGCTGCACCCCCGGACCTGGCTGTTGATAATTTTTTAATCAAGAAGCGATGACATTTCTATCCAGAAGGTTTTTGTTCTGCAGTCAGCCGGAGTTGCTTTTGCTGTGTTAATGTCCCTGACTGGATCCACTCCACCAAGGTGTCCCCACGCACAGCTGCTTGTGATGACAGAAGAGGCAGGGCTCAGTCTGTTCCTTCCATGCAGATGAGTGGGGACCTTCAGGCACCCCTTGGCCTGGCTGGAGGGAGTCAGCGTGCAGGTCCCCTCCTGGCCGCCCTGGCACACATCCTGCTCTCTGCACCTTTTTAGTGCACCCTTTTTTCCCTCCACTTCCGGAGTCCCTGCTGGGCTGGCAGCTCACTTGTGTGACTGGGTCCTGGGTTCAAGAGCCCCTGGACCATGCCGTTGTGCTGCTGGAGAGCCAGCTGATGCTGGTGCTGAGAGGTGGCCAGTTCAGTATATGCCAGGTCTTTTATTAAGCGCTAAACGCAGAGCTGGGGATGGTGGTGCACACCTGTCATCCCAGCAGGCAGGAGGCTGAGGCAGGCAGGTTGGTGTGAGTTCAAGGCCAGCCTGGGGCAGTGAGGTCCTCTCCCAACACCCCTCCCCCCAGAAAAACCTAAACAGAAATCCCGGATTCTGCTTGGATGTTGATACTGCATAGAGTAAGCCAGGTCCCCAGCGCTTTGTGCAGTGGTCCTGTCTGGTCACATCCCTCCACCCATGGCCCCACACGTTCGTGACGCCGTGTTTTCTGGGACTCACCGCCAGGTGAAAAGCGTGAAGCGGCGGGAGAAGAAAGCAAGCGTGCTCTTCATCGAGAAGGACATGAACCCCAAAGGGCGCGGGTAAAGCTCTGCTCTTGTTTTCTGTGAAGAGGGGACGAGGTAGGGCCGGGGATTTGGCTCAGTGGTTCCGCTGCTTGCCTCGCAAGTACAAGGGCCCGAGTTTGATCCTCGGTACCAAAAAAAAAAAAAAGGGGGGGGATAAAGTAGAAGGGTTGGGAGCCCAGCAGGTGGGAAGGATCTTGGGGTCGGCCCCTCATCAGGCAAAAGAGATGGCCCATTACTCCAGTTTCCCAAAGTCCATTTGCTGGTGCTGAAAGGTGGGCCAAGCAGGTGCTGCAGATTCCCCCCTTAGTAAAGCTTGGTGCTGGAGCCATTGACCTGAGCCAAGGGCTCCCACTGGGTCCCCCCTGTGCAAGCTGAGGCAACACCTTCAGCAGGACACCATGTGGAGCTGGCCTCCACCAGCCCTCGGTGCTTCCTGCCTCTGATGGACACTGGGGTGTGGATGAGGGACTGGGGCCCCTGCCACCCCTCTCCAGAGTCCCCTCATATTTAGCTGAAGTCAGTGTACCCTGTTAGCTCCAGGTCTGGCTCCACAGGGTTCCTTGGGCAGCTAAAAAATGGTCACCTCCTTCTGGGGCTGGTGCCTGTCCAGGCCACACAACCCTGTGCTTTTTGTACTGAATAAAGAGAAGCTCGGAGGCCCTGAGATGAAACCCCTTGAGCTAACTGTTACCTCTCTGCTCCGCCAGCATTACTGTGTCACTCAGAAGACTGAAGCACTTTGACTGTAAGGAGAAGCAGGCACTGCTGGTAGGTGGACTTTGTGTGCTTGCTCCCATAATCCTGTTACCTTGAGCCTGATCAGGCTCAGGATTGGTCACAGCCACCCTGGGAAGTCACCGGCCCCATCTCTCCATTTTAAAGCGGGCAAATGGGCCTGGGCAGGCTGAGGTGAGGAGCCCAGATAAAGAGCTGTTTTCTCCCTTGGACTGATGGATGGGGTGCTTGGGCTAAGAGCCCCGGAACCTGGGGCCCTGTGCCTGAGGCTCTAAGTGTGGAGCATGAGGCTGGCCTTGCACTGTCACATGCAGAGGGCTAATGGGCTACTTGTGTACCTCCCACAGTGTGGTCGGCTGGTCATTACACACTTTGTGTCTTTGTCAGCCAGGTGTGGTGGACACACTTGTGCACCCTGGGTACTCAGGCGAAGACAGGAAGATTGAGAAATCAAGGCCCCCTGGGCAATGGAGCAAGACCCTGTGTCAAAAAAACACAAAAGGTTGGGGAGGTAGAACCCCTAGATTTAATCCCTAGTCACAGGGCGGGGGTATTCTCAGGAAAAAACCAGACAGTGGATGGGGAGCTGTGGGGTCTCTGTGATGCCATCTCCCCTGGGCACGGGGATCTTCGATTCTCAGCAGTCAGGCACTCAGCTTTCCTGAGCTTTTTTTGTTTTTTTTTTTTTTCTTTCTTTTTTGGTACCAGGGATCGAACTCGGGACCTTCCGCTTGCAAGGCAGGCAGCGGATCCATTGAGCTAAATCCCCGGCCCTAGCTTTCCTGCGCTTTTGAGTTCAGGGACACAGGCCTGTGTATCTCTTGCTGGCCTGGGACCCTTTGCAGCTGGCCGGCTGTTGCTCTGAGGAGTTGAGATTCCAGAGGGAGCCTGGGTGTTGGGTGTGTCCTGGGAAGCTGGGGGCTCTTTGTGTTGACCATGTGGGCTTCTCCCCGCCGCCCGGCCTTTTGCTAGGGATGGAACCCAAGGTCTTGTGCGTACTGAGCACATGCTCACCACTGAGCTACTCAGCTCCCCATTTCTTTTCTTTTTTTCTTTTTTTTCTTTCTTTTTGTTTTTTATTTTATGACTAAGTGGCCCATGCTTTGTGGATCTTGCACTCCTCCCTCAGCCGCTCAGAGTGCTGGGATCTCAGGCGTGTACCACCACACCTCACTGCGACCCCCCCCCATGTCTAATTCTTGTTTTCCTTTTTTTGTTTTTTTGGTACCAGGGTCGAACCCTTGTGCTTGTGATGCAGGCAGCGCAGCCACTGAGCTAAATCCCCAGCCCTTCCTCTGTCCACTTCACTTCTCTGAGCCATCAGTAGCTTACCTGTCCTGGATGTGCTGAGCCTGATCCCAGTCTGTCCTGCCTGTTCAGCTTGCTTCTTGCAAGTTGGAACCCGTAGCCCACTGTTAGGCACCCAGGACTGCATTGGCCAGGTCCTGATGTTGGCAGAAGGTGGGCACCCGTGGCTTCTGTGCCCTCTAGTTTCAGGTCCATGCACAGCGAGAGGCTGAGTGAGGGTCTTGTCTCACCTGAGCCCCTTCCACCCATCTGGGAGGTGTTCATTCTGTTCTCGGGGCCAAAGCAGGGAGAGGCATGGGCGCCAGGGAGAGCAATGTCTCCCTGCCTTGGAGGTCCGTGTGCCTTAAACACACAAAGGGTGTCGTCATTTACCACCAGAAACCCAGGTGATGAGAAAACCAGGCATTGTCCTTAAGGACCCTGACATAATGGAGGCGTCCGGTGGCCAGCATCTTGTGTTTATTTTTTCTCTGTGATGCTGGGGATTGAACCTGGGGGTCCAGTACCACTGAGCTATGTCTCCAGCCCCTTCCCCGTATTTTAATGTAGCGTCTCACTAAATTGCTGAGGCTGAGCTCAGAAGTGCGATCCTCCTGCTGAGGGCCTGGGATGACAGGCATGTGCTGCTGCACCTGGTTAGCGTCCCTTTCTCCGAGAAAAACAGTTTCTGCCCCACTGTGCAGTTGGGTGGCCAGTGATGCTGGCAAGGATGCCCTTAAGCCCTTGGGTCTGGCATGTCACTCCGTGGCAGAGCGCTCACCTAGCCCACGTGATGTCCTGGGCTTCGGCCCTGGTGTCCCCAGTTTTTTTTCTGTTGCCCAAAATATTGAAGTGGTTGGAATCGAGGCCTCTGAGGGGTGGTTTCAGGGAGGCTGTTGTGAGGTTGGTGCTGGGCACTGCCCACTGTGTGATGGGACCAGCTCTGACACTGGCTGGTTGCCGTCCCTGTTCCCATGTGTGTCCCTGGGTATGTAGCTGCCCAGTCTGGTCTGTGACACCAGTAGTGTTCCCTTCTTGCCACCATCAAGGCTGTGGTCACAGGCAGGTCATGGTGCTCAGTGTTCTGCCCTGAGGGTCTCTTGTGATGCCGCCTGATTCTCTGGAACCAACTCACAGCTGCCAAAGGAGGATGGAGTCCATGGGTATCGTCCTCCCAAGGATAGCGTGTCCCACGGTGACCCTGCCATTTCCCAAGCAGTGCGCAGCTGCTACGTGGACACGTAACTCTGTCACATGGGTGTTGTGACTTCCGTGTCCATCTGACAGCAGCACTAGCTACCCTGGAGTGTTTATTAACCGACCGCTCCTGAGGCTGGCTTAAGCGACGAGGTCACTGGTGGCCGTGGTCAGGCAGCTTGTGGGCCATACCCAGCCCCTCAGAGGATGGGGGACCCCAAGGCTCGGGGTATCTGAGGGCTGCCCAAGGCCACCTCGGCCCCCACCAATGCTCTGCCATCTGGGTCTTGCAGGACAAAGCCAAAGAGGACTTCGACCAGGCCATTGGCTGCTGCATCTCCCTCATCACTGACTACCGGGTGCGGCTAGGTATGTGGGGTGCCCTGGTGGTCAGAACGACCCTCAGAGGGCAGGGCTGAGGGGCAGCGGCACTGAGCCCCAAACCCCAGGGCCATCCTGCTGTTCTAGCTGGGGCCGTAATCATCCTCTCCCAAAACAAGACGAAGCAGAATAACGTAGAGTCAGAGGGTGAGGGGTTTCTGCCTGTCCTGACTGCTGTGCACGGACGTGGGATCAGGAAAGGGACCACCCGGGTCAGGTGCTGGCCCCGGGGTCTGAAGGCCTCTCTGCCCTCTTGCTCTCTCCCCACCCCCACCCCCCGCAGGTTGCGGCTCTTTCGCTGGCTCCTTCCTGGAATATTTTGCTGCCGACATCAGTAAGTCTGCATCGCGCCTCTGAAAGTGGCATCTGCTTCTCAGCCCCGAGAAGCCATGGTCCTCTGTGTCTCAGACTCCGGGAGGCTTTGTCAGAACCAAGTAACCTGGTGTGACCCTGACCACGAGGTTCCCCTCCGGACACAGTAGGCTGCCCTTGCCTGCCCGGGACCTGTCGTCTGCCCTCCTGCCCCTCGTCCACAAGCCTGGTCCGCATTCTCCCTGTGGTGCGTGGCTGTAGGGCTCAGGTAGTTAAGGAACGTTACCCGAATACTAGAATGTCTGACCAGTGCTTTTCATAGACAATTTGTTGTTTTTAATCTCTTTTTTGTTTTTTTGAGACAAGGTCTTGCTTTGTAATTTCTTTGATTACGTTAAACATTGTTAAAGGGCAGGGTTAGAAGAGATAGATCAGGGACCCTTTCAGTGGAAAGGTCTTCGTTTGTTTTGGCTTTGGCTTTGGAGACAAGGTCTTAGTATGTAGTCCAGACTGGCCTTGAACTCTCAATCCTCCTGCCTCGGGCTCCTGAGTAGCTGGGATCACAGGCATGTGCCAGCAGACTTGACTTAGGAGAGGTCTTTAGGAAGCTGACAGTCGAGCTTCAGCAGCTCCTAGGGTCCTGGAACGCGCTCCCTGTCCCACATTCTGGTGCTCAACCTGGCTTCTTTTCCATGAGTGCGACCCACACTGGGCCACAGAGGAGAGGTGGCCGAGACCCACACTGAGCTCTTCCCCTCTAGGTTACCCTGTCCGGAAATCCATCCAGCAAGACGCCGAGGGGACCAGGTTCCCCCAGCTGAGCAGCGGGGACCCCGAGGAGCCTGAGGGCAGCAGCCCCCTGGGGTGGAGGCGGCCCTGCAGGAAAGTGCTGCCTGATCGCTCGCGGGCTGCCCGGGACCGCGCCAACCAGAAGCTGGTGGAATACATCGTGAAGGCCCGAGGCACCGAGAGCCACCTTCATGCCATCCTGAAGAGTGGCAAGCCGTCTCGGTGGCTGAAGATGTTCCTGAGCTCGGGCCAGTACGTGACATGCATGGAGACATACCTGGAGGATGAGGAGCAGCTGGACCACGTGGTGAAGTACCTGCAGGGCGTCTACCAGGACATGGACGGCGAGAAGCTGGTGCGGGCCAGCGGCGACCGCATCCGCTTCATCCTGGATGTGTTGCTTCCCGAGGTGAGTGGCGGGGCCTGTGCCTGCGCCTCAGTCCCCCTGCCACACTGTGGGGCAGGGGACGGGACCCATGAGTCTCAGCCTCACCGTCAATGCTGGGGTCAAACACGTGGCAGGCTCTGCCTTCGCTCGTGTGGTTGCAGATAGTTGATGCTGAGAAGTCACTCGGGAAAGGGAGTTCCCGCTGGGCACAGTGGCACATGATTGTGATCCCAACTGCTTGGAGGCCGAGGCAGGAGGATCACAAGTTTGAGCCCAGCCTGGGCTGCTTAGCAAGATCCTGTCTCCAAAATAAATAAAATAATAAAGAGGTAAAAATAATACAAAGGGCTGGGCATGGAGCGGAGTTACAGAGCTCAGCGGTAGAGGGGTTCAGTCCCCAGGATCACCATAAAATAAAGTTCTCATCCTGCTGTGACCTTGAGCATGGTCCTGACCATGAGCCAGGCTCAGGGCTCTGTGAGGAAAGAGTCCGGAGGGGTGGGCATGCTTCCCTGCAGAGAACACCATCAAAGTCATCTGACCTTGGAGTTGATGGAATTGTTAAGTAGATTCAAAAATACCAGTGAACTCTGCCCGTTGTCCCTGCACTATTTTTTTTGAGGGGGGATAACCCCTCCAGCTGTTTTTACCCTTCAGTGTTTCAGTGTGTGTCTCCCAAAACTGGACACTGGGCAGTGGTTTTGGACATTCATGGCTGTCATGCCCCGGAGCTCCTGGCCTGGAGCAGTGAAAGACAGGGACGCTGGCTGCTCAACACCCTGCAGTGCTTGGGGCGCCCACCCCAGAGAATGACTTTCCCACAGTTCCTAGTGTCAGGGTGGGGCGGCACCTGCTCTAAACTATAAGGATTCTTTTTTTTTGAGATAGTGTCTTGCTGTGTATCCCAGGCTGGCTTTGAATTTGAAGTTCTGCCTCTGCCTCCCATGTGCTGGGGATTACAAGTATGCGCCACCACACGGGCTCTGTATGGATTTGTTTTTAGTCTTTTGAGACAGGATCGCTCTATATAGTTCAGACTGGCCTTGAACTCATTATGTAGCCCAGGCTTACCTTGAAGCCATAGCAAGACGCCTGCCTCAGCCTCCTGAGGGCTGGGATTACAGGCGTGCGCTACCACACCTGCTTCTATAAGGTTCCTTTTATTTTTCTTTTATTTTTTGGGTACCAGAGATCAAACTCAGCACCTTGCACTTGCAAGGCAGGTGGTGGTGCCTCTGAGCTAAATCCTGGCCCTTCCATAAGGATTCTTTAAGAACTGTTTCCCATAGCCGGGCGTGGTGTGGCGCACGCCTGTAGTCCCATCACTTGGGAGGCTGAGGCAGGAGGGTCACTGTGAGTCTGAGACCAGCCTGGGCTACACAGTGAGTTCCAGGTCAATCTCAACTATGTAGTGAGACCCTGTCTCAAACCACACCCCCAAGAAAAATCTGTTTCCCATAACAAATACTGCTGTATCACCTATGACAATTAATGTTGATTCATCAATATCAGACATTTATCATATATGGAAATTTTTTTCCCATATTGGGGATTAAACCTAAGAAATGCTGAGCCACACCCCCCTACCTTTTTTTCCCCCCTTTTAGTTTTTTGTTGATACAAGGTTCTGCAAAGTCATCCAGGCTGGGCTAAGTTTGAGATCCTCCTGTCCCAACTTCTCAGAAGGCTGGGATTATAGGTGTGCACTGCCACACTTAGCTGCTCTTTATTGTGTCTTCTAGTTTGTGTGTGTGTGTGTAAGCGTATTTTGCTTTTTTTTTTGGTATAGGGTTCAAACTCAGGACCTTGCCCTTGAAGGCAAGCACGGTGCTGCCAAGCTAAATCCCTGGCCCTCTTTTGTTTAATTTTTAAAAAAATTATTATTATCATTATTATTATTATTATTTTATTTTATTTTTTTGGTACCAGGGATCAAACTCAGGTCCTTGTGCTTGGGAGGCAGTTGGGGGAACCATTGAGCTAAATCCCTAGCCCTTGTTTATTTTTAACGGTAAACTCTCATTTTCAAAAATGCCCTTGTGAGTTTGAGCCTCGTCTTTTACTCCCTGCTGTTAACAACCTGGGTTCGTCTCCAGTCTGAAGAAGGTGTTACTGATTGGACAAGGGAATCTCATGAGAGGCAGCTATGTCCTGCATCATGGTGTGCATGACTTGTGGCCACGGCCTGCTGCATGTGAAGTGGCTGGGGCTGTGGCAGGCTCCACACAGACTCTTCAGCCAGTGCTCGCTGCCCCAGTCCAGCACTGTGTGTCCTCTTGCAGGCCATCATCTGCGCCATCTCTGCTGTGGACGCAGTGGACTACAAGACGGCTGAGGAGAAGTACCTAAAGGGACCATCGCTCGGCTACCGGTAGGCTGGGCCTTTCCCCTCGGGTCGCTGGTGTTCGTGGTGACAGAAGATCATGTCTTCCAGCGGGAGTTGGCAGCAGCCGGGGTCTTGGAGCTGGTCTGTGGCAGGCAACCTGGACCTAAGCCAGGCCCCTCCGCAGCTTCCCCGGAACAGACCACCCTGGCCCCATGTCCTCCAGACCAGGCAACCTGGTCGCGTGCTTGGCCGTATCCCTGACTGCATCTCCCTAATCTCCTGTGAGGGGTGGGCATGCTCTGGGTTTTCTTCCCTGCTGCGCCAGCCTCGTGGCTGGTGGAGAAAATAGCGAAATTAAGAAGCAGCCTTTGGCTCCAGGCAGGAGAATGAAGGCTGTGATCAAGATGTTTCCCCACATCGAGCCGCCCAGATCTCTGGCCCCCAGTCCCTAATCCGCCTCTGGGCATGCTGCCAGGCCTTGCTGGGAGCAGGCGGGGCTGCAGGGCAGTGACAGGCACACGATGGATCAGGAGTCACAGGGCAGGGTCCCTAACCAGGGCTCACCACCCGGGCTGCGTGCCCAGCCCCCCTGCTGTCCCTGGGGGCTGATGTGTACTTTGTAGTGCCCTAGGGAGTCCGGTGTCCTTCCTGGCAGGGTGGCAGTGCCAACACGTCTCTTGGGCTCATGTGTCTGAAGGCACTGCAAAACTGCCCAGGAGAGATTAAATTTGGCTTTATTTGCAGAAGGTTCAACCCAGCTGAATGACTAGAACTATAGAAGGGCCACCAGGCCTGATGTCACATATCTGTGATCCAGCTTTCTGGGTGTCTGAGGCAGGAAAATCCCAGCCTGGGCAACCTATTACTTAGTGAGATCCTGTCTCAAAAGGTAAAAAGGAGCCGGGCGTGGTGGTGCACGCCTGTCATCCCAGCACTCTTGAGGCTGAGGCAGGAGGATCGCTGTGAGTTTGAGACCAGCCTGGGCTACATAGTGAGGTCTAGGTGGGTGAGAACCTGTCTCAAAAAAAAAAAAAAAAAATGTAAAAAGGAGCTGAGGATGTAGTCAGTGCAAAAGGCCCTGGGTTCAGTCCCCAGTACAATGCCACCCCACCCCTCACAACTGGAAGGGTCTTTGGAACTAGACTTGATGTTTTTTAGCATGGTCTGCAGCGTGTGCTGCCCTGACTCACTTAACGTGTGAATGAAAAGTGGTGGTCACGGGAGGGTGCGTGTGCTCCCGGCTTCCCTCTGGTTGGTGACCCATGCTGCCTGGGAGAAGTGCAACAGGGATGTTCAGGGCCTCTGCTCAGCTTGATGAGGCTGGGAGCTCACAGAAAGTGGTCCCAGTGGCAGCCACTTGTCACCTGGGTCTTCGCCTGCCACCATCACAGCATCTGTGACACTCTTCATGTCCTTTTTTTTTTACTCCCCTGAGGTCCGTCCTGACTCAGCGTTATGTTATAGGGTGGCTTTTTTTTTTTTTTTTTTTTTTTTTTTCCGTGGGGTGGTGTTATACATTTCTTTTGGTGAGGCAGGCAGTGGCACCACTGAGTTAAATCCCCAGCCCTGTAGGTGGTTTCTTTCCAGATGGCTCACTAATCCAGAGTATTCCAGGTTCTTCTTGACTTGAACAAAGAATTAGACCAGATAAGCCAGTAACAATGTCAAAAAGTTTATTTGAAAAGTAAATGGGTATGGGAGAAACCAGCTCTGCAGAGTGAACTTGGGCCGAATAAAGAGAGAGAGAAAGGGTAAAAGCAAAAATTAAAGTATACATTCAGAGGCGGCATGGGGTACTAGGCAGAGGCACGCTTCATCAGGGCTTTCCATAATGGCTGCTTTTTTTGGGGGGGTTACCGGGGATTGAACTCTGGTCCTTGCGTTTGCCAGGCAGGCCACCGAACCGCTGAGCTAAATCCCCAGCCCGATGGCCGCTTTTTTATGCCGTCCACATGCCCACATCTCACAGAAGCTCGCGAGAAGTTCTACATAAGGGACCCTCGCGTTGCCCTGGGATCTTGTAATTGACAGGTTCCGCCAGCTTTGGCATGCCCTGTCTCCTGTGTCAGGCTGCAGGAGATCCGGGCAGCCAGCTCCTCCTGAGAGTCTGTCCGCGAACAGCACATGTGCATTCCCCGGCAGCCTCTGTCTTTTCTTGTCCCTCACCCTATGGCCATGTGTTCTGCAAAGGCCAGTTCGAAAACCACCCTGTCTTTCTCCCTATCCTGGGGCCATCCTGGATCTTGGGAGAGGTGGCTGTTAAGCAGTTGTCACTTGATGAGAGCCCTCAGTGGACACAGTGGTCACTGATAGGGGAGCTCCGTGCCAGACATACCTCTTCTCGCAGCTACTTGGTTGGAAGGCTGAGGCGAGAGGATCTCAAGTTCAAGGCCAGCATAGGAAGAGATTGGCAAGGAAAAAATTAAAATTTCATATACTTTTTTTGTTGGATGAAAAATTGTTGGGTTATGCTGTAGCTTAGTGACAGCGTTTGCCTAGCATGCATGAGGACCAGGGTTCCACTCCCAGGAACCACACACACACACACACACACACACACACACACACACACACACACACCCTAAAATGTACACCTTTTTTGAGATCACCTTTTTTGAGATCTGGCCTTGCTGTGTTGTCTATGCTAGCCTCACTGCATAACTCAGGCTAGCTTCAAACTTGCAATCTTTCTGCCTCCGTTCCCGAGGGCTAGGGTTACAGATGTGTAAGTACTGTGCCCACAACCAGAACCATCTTTTTTATTTATTTGGTACCAGGAATCAAACTCAGGACCTTGCACTTGCCAGGCAGGCATGGCACCACCGAGTTACATCCCTTGCCTCAGAACTATCTTTCTTGTCTATCTTTTCATTTTTTAGTTTTTTGGACAGGTTTCACTATGTAGCCCAGGCTGGCCTTAAAATTTCAGTGATCCTCTTGCCTCAGCCTCTCAAGTGCCAGGATTACAGGTGTGTGCCACCATGCCTGGCTGTCATCCTCTTTACAAACTCCATGATTAATCACTTGTGATGTATGAATTTCTGTTTTCTGCAGGGAAAAACAAATATTCGATAATCAGGTCCTGGAGGAACGGAGTCGGCGCCACCGGTGATGCACACACACCCACACACCCGAGCTGAGGCACACGGCCCAGGAGTGGCTGGCACGGCGACACCCCCTCCTGTGTGAGGGCTGCTCTAGGACACAGGGACCCCGGGGTCTGTTAGGTGCCTATGGCCCCAACCCTTGCAATCACAGCCTGAGGAGGTTTCATCAGAGCCAGCGAAAGCCAGTCCCTGTGTTGGTGTTTTCCAGAATATACATATCCTGAGATTGTTTAAAGAGGATGAATCTGTTTATTGTATGCCATCCCATCCATTGTGACTGTATAGTTTGATATGAATTGCACACATATTTTATGTCATACATCACATCCAGTATTAAATGGGAGTTTTTAGAAAGCGTCTGATGTGGCTGGGTCACGGGTGGCTGCGGAGCATTCATGTGTCTTTTGGTGTGGTTTGTCATGGTCCCCTGTGTGATCCCCCGGCCCACTTCTGGGGTCTACTGTGCCACCCGTGCTGTCTCTGTGACTGCAGCACCAAAGGCCAGCGCTGCTGGGACGTCATGTGCAGGGGAGGGCAGGAGACTGAGCCTGAAGCTGGACGCCAAGGTTGCCCTAGGCCCCCTGCCCCCTGGCTATGGTGTCACTGCACGGCCAGCGTCTTTGTATGCTACCTGGACAGCTACTGTGGGATCCCAGAGTGGCCTCCTCCACACTGTGTCATAACAGGAGCTGTGGACCAGACGGTGTAGTGTGAGAAAAACCTGTTGGTCCTGGCCATGGCCCCTGCAGCAGTGAGGCTTTTCTAGCCACAGCATGGGGAGAAGGACTTGGGTTCAGGGCAGCCCCACTGCCACGTGGTCCACGGGCTCTGGAACAGTCAGGGCCACGGCTCCATGAAGTATCCTGGCCGATGCTCCTGGCTCCTCTGTGTGAAGTCAGTGTGGCCAAGGGAGATTTCAGATTATGGTGGAGACAAAGGCCATCTGCCCCTGCCAGATGTGGTTATTGTCCCTCTGCTGAGTTGTGTCTGTCCCCTCTGGAGATGGCTTTGTGAGGTTGGGACCTCTTCCCCAATGCCCCCCTCACTCTGTGCCAGGGGTGCGGAGGAAACGGCTAGAGATAGCAGTGTGGTCCCTGTCTGTTCCTTAAGAGAGTGTGTTGTGCCCGGGCCGCCCATCCCCGCTACCGGGGGTATGGAATAGGGTGGCTCTGTGTCCCAGCCTCCCGGCCTGAGGATGCTCCACTGGCCCATTTCATGGCAGTCGATTTTGCTGGGATCTCCAAGGGGAGATGGAGACTGAATTGAGAACGCAAGGCTGGCCCGGCTGAGCTGTTCTGCCTCCAGCCACCTGCAGGGTCCACCTCCCGGGCAGGGGCTCGGGGGAGCATCGTAAGCCCGTGCTGGTCACTTTGCTCCGTCCTCCCTGAGGAGGGGCTGCCTCCCTCTCACCCTCCTTCCTGGGAAAGCTTGCCCCGTTGGCCGCAGGGACCTGGACCTGGGTTTCCTGTCTGTGCTGCTCAGTAGCCAGTGCCTCATCCAAACACCCATGACGTCCTGGCAGGCAAGGTCCTGTGAAAAGTCTCTGTGGGTGATTGCTGCTGTCGCAAAGTCTGTGTGTTTGTTTTGTTTTTTTAGCACTAAGGATTGGTTCCATGGCTTTGCTTCACGCTGAGCTGCATCCCCAGCCCTTTATTTTTATTTTTTGGTACCAAGGATCAAACTCGCGTCCTTGAGCTTGCGTGGCAGTCCCCAGAACCACTGAGCTAAATCCCCAGCCCCAGCTCTTTATTTTTTATTTTGAAACAGTCTTGCTGAGTTGCTCACGCCAGGCTCAAACTTGATCCTCCTGCCTCAGCCTTCTATAGTGTTAGATTTACCTGTGTACGCCATGGCACCCAGATGTGTCATGAAGTATTTCTATACCTCCATCTCTGGGGCCTCCCTATGTCCTGAGGATCGGATTGTCTAGCCCTTACAACTTGAATTAAATGGCTTTTAGAAGACTTGACTTTTCTGAACAAAACTGATTTTGTTCCTGGGGAGGGGTGGGAATCGGGGCTGAGATTAGAGACCAGGCCTGCTGTGCCCTGATACTGAGTGGGCTGGGAGGCAGGTGGGTCTCTGGACAGACTTGGGGGCTGCATGAACGTTGCCAAGAAAGCACCCATCTGTCAGGGGAATGGGATCCAGGCCAGTGGGGTGGGGCCAGAGAGCACCTCCGTCCCTCTCCGCATCTTCCGTGGGGCAACCCTGCTTCACCGGTGCATTTTCCTCAAGATACAGTGGGTGTTTAGATCCCAAAATGTCCCTTGGCCACAAGGTGCCAGGTCAGGAAAGTTCTAGAAGCTTGTTTTGAGGACCAGCTGTGGCTCCCCAGGGTGACTTGACTGCTTCCGAGGCGCCAAGAGGCCGAACCCAACCCATCCGTATCCGCTTGGGGTACAGTGTGTTGACCCATCCTCCCATACAGCTGCCTCCTGCTTGAGGGTGTTGAACACACACAGGCCGGTGATCCGGTTTTTCTCAAAAGACCTGTTTTCCCCAATGCCTGGGTCCCCTGCTCAGCGCTGTGCACATTGGGCCCAGGGCGCCCTCTGGGCCTCATCCCGGGAACTACAGGTGCGGGACCGAGTCTCTGGCCTCCAGCCCACTCCATGCCAAAAGCTCCCGGGGGGTGATGGCCAAGTGTGTCCCCAGACTCCACCAGTACACCCTGGAGTGCAGCTGTCTACAACAATCAGGAGCCTGGCTGCTTTCCCTTCTTCTGGGGTGGAGGTGGCTGGTATTTCCCAGTCCCTCTCCCAGCCCTGGTGCCATCTCCCTATCTTCTCCTGATGCCCTTTCAGGGAACCTGGGAGCTGCCCCCCTTGCAGCTGACCCCCGGTGTTACTCGTTCCAGATCTGGAAGAGAAGGGATGAGATTTCCCAGAATTAAATGTCCTGGCATTCGGGCAGCGCCAGAAGTCCACACCTCAAGGACATATTCAATGTCCAATGATGCTCCCCTCAGGATTCACCTCTGCTCGGGACCCTGCCTGCTGCACCATGCCAGACTTCCCTTTCCCTTTCCCTCCCCTCCTCCTTTCTCCAGTGCCCCTTCCTCTACAATCGCCTTCTGCCCTTTCCCCTTCAACCCAGCACCTCATTTTCGCTGCTGTCATCAGAGGCCCAGCTCCTGTCCTGTCCTCTATGGGCCACACCGCCAGTATGCACTCTTGCTCTGGGCCACCATCTCCCCAAAAGCTCGCTGTGGGAAACATGTTCCTTCTCATGGTCCCCGTAGCTCAGGGCCCAGGAACAGCATGGCTGGCAGCTCAGGGTGCTGTCTCTGGAGACTGGGCAGGTGTGGGCTGGGATGTTGGAGGCCTCCTCTCCTCACCCCTCACATCCAGGCCTGCACCATCGGCTCCCCTCAGAGTGAGCAGCCTACCTCGCCTTGGCAGTCATGCTTAGTGTCCCAGGAAGGTGACATTCCTACACAGGCAGAGGGCCCTGAATTGTTGCGTCCCCTGCTGATCCCCAGCAACAGCAGCCTCCCAAGAGGGCAGAAGACAAGGTAACCAGATGTCATGCAGGGCCGTGATGGGGTCTCAATGCAGAAAGAGGACTTGGTCTGTTTTGTGTCACTCGATAGAACTCTTGAGCCAAGCATAACGGCACAGGACTGTCACCCCATCTGAGAGACAGGCAGGAGGATCTCGAGTTTAAACTTGGCCTTGCCAATTTCATGACTTAGCAAGACCTTGTGTCAAAAAAAGATTTTTTAAAGGGCTTGCTAAGTAGCTCAGAGCAAAGACACTAGGTTTGAAGACAGTACCAGAAAAGAAAAAAGAACATGCAAGTAGAAAGTATTTTTGCCAACTCTATTTAGTTGGTATTTAGCTTTACATTTGACAATCATTACTGGCTGTAGACCTACTGATATAAAAAATATCGAATCCACCTCCAGCACTAAAAATAAATAAATAAATAAATAAAAAATACAGTCTCACTGTGTAGTTCAGGCTGGCCTTCGACTCACTAGGTAGCCCAGGTTGGCCTCGAACTCTTGGCAATCCTGCCTTTGCTTCCCGAGAGCTGGGATTACAGGCGCGAACCACCCCACGCAATGCAGAAAAAAAAAAAAAAAAAAAAAAGGAAAAAATTTTGTTAATAATAAGCGAGGAAAGAAGGGACAGATGTTTGCACTAAAATTATAAAGCCTCTGAATGAGGCAATTCAATTTCTGGTTTAATGAGAACCGACGTTCGACTTGGGACGCCAACTATTTCTGCCAAAACCCAAGACAGAACTAAGGACCTTTAGTTCTTCTACCTAATGCTCTCCCAATTGAGCTATTTCAGCCGAGAAGCCAGGACCGCTCCTTTCTAGACTCCGCCCAGAGGCGAGGCGCCTTGTGCAGGTGCAGCTCGTCCCACACGCGCCTGTTGCACATACCTCATAAGAGTGCGTCCGTAAGGCCGTCTGCTAGCACGGTCTCTGTGGCGCAATCGGTTAGCGCGTTCGGCTGTTAACCGAAAGGTTGGTGGTTCGAGCCCACCCAGGGACGGAGGTGTTTTCTACCCTTTTACTTTTCGGAATCAAAAGAAAACTCGTGCAGTGTGTTTTCTTTTGTCACCCTTAGCCCCACGACCTTTCTTTCGGAGGGATTCGTCTGGAAACACGTGGCGTGGTCACGAACAGGGAGGAGAAAGCAGCGGAACGACTCGACTCCGGGTTCCAGTTTCTGTACACATCCTGAGCCGCTTTCGGTGACGGCCCCGAGGACCCGGAGCACTAAGAGGGCGGACCACAGAGGTTGTCTGAAGGCCGAAACCAAGATGGCGGCGCTGGCGGGTGAGCGCGGGGGCCCGGGCTTTGGGTTCGCGGGGCCGTCGCTGTCCGGGTTCTGGGACCGCGGGGACTTAGGGGTCCCAGAGCCCAGGCTGGGGAACGTTGGGTACACCGGGGACCTAGGACACCATGGCCTGGGTTTCTGCCGGCGTCCGGCGCCTGTGTGGAGGTAGACCCTGCCTTCTCTGGATAAAGTGACTGAATAAACTGTGACATGGAATAAAATCGTAGGATGGAAAGAAACCTGAGATACTGAGAGACAGTTATCAAATACTGTTGCAAAACCCGATTGGTAACAAAGTGTGGTGGAGCAGGCTTGTAATCCTAGCACTCCAAAGGCTGAGGATCCTGCGAGTTCAAGGCCAACCTAAGCTACGTAGTGAGACCCTGTCTCAAAAAAGAGAGAGAGAGAGAGAGAAAGACAACCTAATTGATGACTTACTTACCTATGTGCTTTGATTGTTAATGCATGTGACCCCAGGTCTGGGGTAGGTCTAGCAGTTATATGGAGTAGGGGGACTCGATTGATTCTTGAAGTTGTCTGCTGCATCCGTAACACGGTTAGGACTCTGGTTTTGCTGATGAAAAGTTGCACGTCTTGCCAGTACTGTTGTGTTCCTTTGCCTGGGCTCAGAACTGAACAAAAAGCTCATTTTCAATAAGACTTTGATGATAGTGAAGAGGTTATTTGTTTTTCTGTGCAAGTTCCCAGTTCTTCGGAATTCTCACCAGGAATTCTTTGTTTAAAATGCCTGTTCCTAGGGCCGGGATAGCTCAGTGGTTCCGCCACCTGCCTCACAAGCTCAAGGTCCTGAGTTCAATCCCTGGTACCACACACACACACACACACACACACACACACACACACGCACACACACACACAAAAGTAGTGAAAAATGCTTGTTCCAAAGCTGGGTGCATTGGCACACTGCTGCTTGGGAGGCTCAGCTGCTTAGGAGTCTGAGGCAGAAGGATTGCTTCCATCTAGGATTTTTGGACTAGTCTGGCCACCATATAGCAACACACCTATTTCAAAAGAAAAAAAAAGTTCTGTTTTCACACCTCTTAGGTACTCAGCAGGGTGTTTGTTTTGCTCTGTTTCCAAGGCCATTGTCAGTTGTCAAATGGGAAATCTGAGGCTCAGGGAGAGGTAGCTAATCTTTGGGCCCAGCCTCAGGCCTGCCAAGAAGGTAGGTCACTGTCATGTCCTTGGGAGACTTGCAGCCTGTGTGGAGCTGCAGAAAGCAGCACCCTGGGTGAGGTGAAGGCTGGCACAAGGAGGGGGTTGGGGAAGAGGTTGTGTGGCCCCTCATGCTCAGGTGGCTTAGATGACAGAACTTCATTATCCACAGTCCTGGAGGCTGGAGGTCCGACTGATCCAGGGTGTCACAGGCCGGGTTGCTCCTCAGGTCTTGTCGTGGGTTGTGGGTGCTGTTGTCTCCCGAGGACTTCATGTAGTCTTCTCCCTGGGAGTCTGTGTCCTGACCCTGTTTTATTATATGCACCCCAGACCTATGGATCAGGGCCCATGTCAGGAACCTCACCTATCCGTTAATCACCTCTGTAAAGACCCTGTCTCCAAACATGGTGACATTATGAGGTGCTGGGGCGAACGCTTCACTGTGTGCATTTTGGACACAGTTCAGCCATGGATGGTCACCAACCCTGGCCCCTCCAGCTGTCCCATTGTTCACGAAGGTCTCTACTCACCTCCACCACCCCTGCGCCTCCATCCAGGGCGTCCCTCCCCATCTTTCCTTGCAGTCAGCTCCTCCTGGGGTCCTTCCCCGTGTAGGTTGACATGGACGTTGCCTTTGCTGCCTTCCTGGATGCATGTCTGGGGCACAGGGCAGTTCCTGGCAGGATCTGAAACCCTCAAGCCCCAGCCCAGTGTCCAGAGCCTGGAGTCAGGTACCGAGCCTGTATGCCAGGCACAGCCAAGGCTGAGGCAAGGGAAGTCCCAGTGTCAGAGGAGGCTTGTGGTGCATGAGTGCACAGAGCCAGAGAAGGGATAGCGCTGGGACCCAGAGGGCCTGGCTGGTCAGTGGGCGCCCCTCCTGAGGCCTTAAGACAAAGAAGTGGCTATGTGCAGCAGGGTGTTCAAGGCAGAGGGAGCAGTAAGGCAAAGACCCCGAGGAGGGACACGACGCGGTGAGCACGGGGAGGGGCCTGATGTGGGATCTGAGTATGCTTCCGGAGGCCGAGGGTCTTCAGCAAGGGAGAGAAACGGCTGCTTTCTGGAAGACCCTTCCTCACCAAGCGCTTGCCGAGTGGCATTGAGACAGTGGAGGGGACTGCAGGGTACGGCCGGAGGGAGCGTGTGCCCTGCTGGGACACCCTGGCCCTGTGGCTCTGAGCACCGCTCACCCTCGCCCCAAGCCCATCCCATTCTCTCCACAGCTTCTGGCCCGCTCTGTGTCCGGATCCTTGGCCTGCGGTGAGTGCTGGTACCTGTCAGGTGGGAGGCTTGGCTGCAGGTGTTGCAGGGCCACCCCCCCAACAAATAGAGGGACCCTTGGAGGTCACTGGTGTGCAGGGCCCTCTGTGCGACATTTGTGGGGTGGCAGAGGCTAGCAGGGCTCGGTGCCCTCAGAGCACACTCCCCTGTCCCAGCAAAGTGTCCTGCAAGCCTGGCTCAAGGACAGCCACCTCCTAGAAACTCGGGCAGGCCTGAGGCCCACGCCTCCCCTCGATCAGGCAGGGAGGGCCTGGTCTCAGGGTTTCCTTCTGTAGCTCTTCCCAGGATCATCCTTACTTAGGCACCGGGTGGCCTGTGCACCCTGAGAAACTTAGATCTGAGCCATTATCTGGGTCGGGGCCTCAGTGAGGGGAGGGGCAGCAAGCAGAGGAGCGAGGGGTCCGAGGAAGGAAGGGACAGTGGGGAAGGGCCGGGCCCTGGGCTCAGGGCAGCCACTTACTGGGGTCTCTGCAGCTCCGGTGTGGGTGTGGCTGTGCAGGCGCAATGCATCCATCAGAGCCAGGCCACCGAGGGCCCGGGCAGGTGAGGCCACCTCCTCCCTCCTCCCCACATCTCTGGTGCCTTCTGGGTGCTGCATCCTGGTCCCCTGGGAGCCCTGTGGCTGCATGCATCCTGGGGTCCTGGATGCTGATGGTGCCTCACAGAACCCTTGGACGCAGCCATGCCTCGTTCCTCATCTTCAGTGTGTCCTGGCTGCAGCCTGGGCCTCAGGGTTCGTCCTGTGCTATCCAGGGACCCTGCCTATGACTGCTCCTTTGTTCCCAACTCCAGGCAGCTACCCCAGACTGGGTGCCTGGGCAGGGGCTGTTGGTGGCCACCCCCTGGCTGTGTCACTGACACCTTCCATGCCTGTGTGTCCCTGTACCCAGCACCCAGCCTGCTGTGCCCAAGGTTGGAGCCGTGGTCCCAAAGCCCCCCACACTCCCGACGAGCCGCGGCGAGTATGTGGTGGCCAAGCTGGATGACCTCGTCAACTGGGCCCGCCGGGTGAGCTCTGCTGTCCCCTTCCCGGGGACACACACAGCACCCCGGGGATGAAGCTTGACTCTCCTGAGCATCCCCCTCCCTCCCCACTGCCTGGTCTCCTTGCCCTGGACACAGTGAGCCAACCACTGCTCCTACAGGTCTCGTTCTGGCCTCTGAGTTTGTTTTTTTTTCTCTTCTAATATGAAAGTGATTTTTATCTTCAAAAAGCCATGCTTTCTGAACGCTGTAGGTCCCCAGTAAAGTCTGCCATGACATGCATCCCTGTGACCAGCTGGCCACTCCCCGCAGCTCTGCCTGGTGCCCCGCCTCACAGTCATGCAAGTCTCACAGTGGCCCATTGATGGCGAGCTCGGCTCTGCCTCCCACGTTGTCTGTTGAGCTCTGTGCCTGGGGCGGCTCCTGCGGGAACCCACAGCTGCCATCATGGAGCTGCCCACTGCAGGCCCTTTTTAATCACCGAAGCCCAGGAACATGGCCAGGGTCTGTCTAGTGCAGGTGCCAGCCAGGTGGCCCTGGCCATCTAGGCCAAGGGGTGAGCTGTTCCCACTCTGCAGCCCAGGCCCTGCCACCCACATCCACACATCTGTTGATGGCCATCAGACCCAGGGCAAAAGGAGCAGGAGGTTTGCGGGAAACAAGACATCAAATGTTGGAGGACGCACACAGCGTCCAGGGCTGCCTTGGAAGTGGGGTTGGGAATGGCGCTGGTTCTGAGCCCTCTCCTGGGCCTGGAGCCTGGCCGCTACCCTCCCTGGTTCTGAAGCGAGGCTAGGGACCTGAGTGTCAGGTGACTGACTGGCCTGGCCCTCTCCCAGAGCTCTCTCTGGCCCATGACCTTCGGCCTGGCCTGCTGCGCCGTGGAGATGATGCACATGGCTGCACCCCGCTACGACATGGACCGCTTCGGCGTGGTCTTCCGTGCCAGCCCGCGCCAGGCCGACGTGATGATCGTGGCTGGCACGCTCACCAACAAGATGGCCCCGGCGCTCCGTAAGGTAGGCCCAGCCCTCCCCAGCCCTCCCGCCCTGACGCACAGGGAACCTGATTCTGCGCCTCCTCCAGGTCTACGACCAGATGCCAGAGCCACGCTACGTCGTGTCCATGGGGAGGTGAGTGCTACCCCACCCCACGCTTGCCCCTCACATCTGTCCAGGTATCACGGGGAGGCCCTTAGCCGTACCTAGCTGTCACCTGTCACGTGCCCACTGCCCTCTCCCAGGCTGCTTCGCTATCTACTCCCAGCCCAGATGGCAGGTGGCCTCCTTTCCACCCAGCTCCGTGCTGTGTAAGTGCACCCTTTGAAAGTGCCAGGAGATGCGTGACTGTTGTCACTGTTTAGTTCCAAAACTCTCTTATCACCACAAAAAAGCCCTATCCGTCCCCATGAGCAGTCACCCTCCCCCAGCCCCAGCACCCCTGAGTCCACTTCCTGTCTCTGGAGTCGCCTGTCCTGGGTGTTTCCTGTCCGTGGAGCCCACACTGTGTCCTCCATGTCTGGCGTCTCACTGAGCACAGCGTCCTCAAGGTCTGTCCGTGCTCTGGCGAGTGTCACAGCTTCGCTCCTATGGTTGGCTGAGTGATGTCCCAGTGTGAGGACTTACGAGTAACCTAATTCAAACGTCTGTAGAACATTCCAGAGTTCACTCGGCCTGACACGGTAGTTATTTCCATTCCTGGCCCTGGTGAGCCGTGTGATGCATGACGCTACAGGCATTTCTGGGTCTCCCAGTGTGCGTGGACCCCAGTAGCAGAGAGGGGGTGGGTGGAGCTTCCATGCTGCTCCCCAGACAGGGCTGCCTCCCGCCCTCCCTACGCCCCGGCTCTGATCTTGGCTGTTTGAAGGAGAAGGGGCTTTCTGTCAGTGGGTCTCCAACCCCACACTCCCCGGGGGAGTTCACCGTCAGAGCCCTGGGCGGACGCTTCCCATGTTTCCCAGCGCACATTTACTTGTGCACCCTGTCCCAGAAGGTTCCTGGAGGTGCTTTGTCTCTGCTGCCCCCCACCCCTGGTGGCCAGGTGCTGGAGAGCAGAGGGGGTGGGCAGGGGCCCACAGGGGCCAGGGTGCCCCTCAGAGTGTTTTCTCCCCCAGCTGTGCCAACGGAGGAGGTTACTACCACTATTCCTACTCTGTCGTGAGGGGCTGTGACCGCATCGTGCCTGTGGACATCTATGTGCCAGGTGAGGGCAGCCTGGGCCTGTTCACTCTGCCTCTCCCCCATCCACATCCACACTGTGGACGGGCAGGTCAGGGTCCTCGAGAAACAGCGCCACCCCAGGCCTTAGCCCCCTTGGTCATAGGGTCTCCCAGGGTGGTGGCCTGGTCCCTGTGTCAGAAGTCAGAGTAGCAGAAGGGAATTCATTCATTGCAATTACTAAAACTAACAAGAAAAGGTCTCTGGTGGGGGGTAGGACATTGTCTCTAAAAGGGAGCTGGGTGTGGTGGCACACTGAAGCAGGAGGCTGAGGCAGGAGCATTACCATGGCTTCAAGGCCAGCTTGGGCTATACAGTGAGACCCTGTTTCAAAAAAAAATTTTTTTTTTTTTGTACTGAGGGTTGAACTCAGGCCCTTGTACTTTTTAAAAAGTGGGGTGTGCGGAGTGCTGGAAATGTAGGTGGGTGGTGGTTTTAACCTCTGTGATTTCAGAAGAATAAAAAAGTTCAGGGTGCTCAGTTAACTTTGAATGTCAGAATCACAATGAATAATAATTTTTAAAGGACTGGGGATTTAGCTCAGTGGTTCTGCCTATCTCATAAGCGCAAGGACCCGAGTTTGATCCCCAGTACCAAAAAAAAAAAAACAAAACAGCAGCTGGGCATGGTGGTACACATTTGATATCCCAACACTTGGGAGGCTGAGGCAGGAGGATCGCTGTGAGTTCGAGACCAGCTTGGCCTACACAGTGAGTTCCAGGGCAGTCTCAACTACATAGTGAGACCCTGTCTCAAAAAACCAAAAAAAAAAAAAAAAAAACAGCAACTGGGCATGGTGGTACACATTTGTTATCCCAACACTTGGGAGACTGAGGCAGGAGGATCGCTGTGAGTTCGAGACCAGCTTGGCCTACACAGTGAGTTCCAGGGCAGGCTCAACTACATAGTGAGACCCTGTCTCAAAAAACCAAAAAAAAAAAAAAAAACAGCAACTGGGCATGGTGGTACACATTTGTTATCCCAACACTTGGGAGACTGAGGCAGGAGGATCGCTGTGAGTTCGAGACCAGCTTGGCCTACACAGTGAGTTCCAGGGCAGGCTCAACTACATAGTGAGACCCTGTCTCAAAAAACCAAAAAAAAAAAAAAAAAACCCAGAAAGGGCCAGGGATTTAGCTCAGTGGTGCTGTGCTGCTTCGAAAGCACAAGGTCCTGAGTTTGGCCCCTATACCAAAAAAAAACAAAAGTCTGTCCTACATGGTACTTATCAAGCACTGGTTGTGTGAGGTTCACACTTAGCTGCCATCCTTTATTCTACCTGGCAGTCAGTCCGGTGGTGTCCCTCTGCATGTGGGACATGTCAGTTTGCTTAGCTCTGTGAGTGGGGAGGTCACCCTCTCAGTCCTAGGCCTCTCCCGAAGGCTGGCATGGGGCCCCTCACTAGTCCAAGGCTGCTCCTCCCAACTTTCCCAGGGACTGGTGCTGAGGAGAGAGCTCCCGGGAGGCTGGGCTGGGAGACTGAAGCTCGATCCCCACAGGCTGCCCACCCACGGCTGAGGCCCTGCTCTACGGCATCCTGCAGCTGCAGCGAAAAATCAAGAGGGAGAAGAGACTCAGGATCTGGTACCGCCGGTAGTGCCCACAGCCACACTGCAGTCCTGACCCACTGGCACCTCTGGAGCGGCCCGAGATTGTGAATAAACCGAGACTGTAAATAGACCCCACTGATTCCACTGGTGCCCTGTGCACTGTGGGTGGGGACCAGGTATCCTGTGCCCACTGGGCGGGGTTTCCCCTGCGTTTTTCATGGATGAGAACACCAAGGCCCAGAGTTGAGCTATCACCTAGCTACAACCCTTCCTGGGACGGTCTGGCTTTGGAGAGCAAGAAGCTGGGTCCCCTGACTCAGTTTCCTCAGTAGCAAAGCCTCCCCTTGTCGCTTCCCCACACCTCAGGGTTGGGGCAGTGGCCTCTGAGTGAGGGGCAGTGGGGACCGCACATGGCCAGTGATAGGCTAAGGAGAGACGGCCTGGGTCCCTTGCAACTGTCCCTCAGCCTGGAGATGTGGGTGCAGTCCAGATGAGCCCCTCAATACCCAGCTCTACCTCTCCTAGCCCGCCCTCAGAGACGCCACATCCCCAGTCCACGCCTTCCTAATGACACTCATTCAGCAGACTGGAGACGGGTCCTGCAGGTCCTCGGTATGTGCCCGCGCATATCGATGGCTCCCTGCCTCAGGCACGGGGACAGTGCTGCCTGGTCCTGCCCAAGGGCAGCTTCTAGGGCAAAACCACGCAGAGCGGGAACAGTGCTGTGGGCAGGAACGGCTCGATCCTGGTCCCTGGTCAGGAGCCCATAGGCGGGTCCCTGGAAAGCGGGTCCCCAGAAGAGGGGGGCAGCTCCCCTGGGGCCCATATGAGTCGAGAACTGGCTAGGGATGAGGGTGGCGGCTCTGGGGGACAGATGGGGCCAGGCCACAGTGGGAGCCAAGACACTTGAACGCAAATGCACTCATTTCGGGCTGACTCCGCAAGACTCCCAGCCTTGGGGACACCCTCTTAGTTCCTGCTGCAAACCACTGGGTGAGCAGCACGGCCGCCCAGGGCATGGGCAGTGTCAGGCAGGACGATGGGCCCCAAAGGGTGACGGTACTCGCAGCTGCACTCGGGGCGCGCCAGCCAGGCCAGTGCCCACCTTTATTTTACCCTTGTGCCCTGGAGGGAGGCCACCCGTGTCCCATGGCTGGTTCTCAGACACACCGAGGAGGGTGGGCACTCACTGCTTGGTAACCAGGGGCGTGATCATCTGTGGGAAGGCGTAGTAGCGGCAGTCGGCCGGTGGCACCAGCCCCATCACCTCCGTGCGAATATTCTCCCGCCGGAAGCCTGCCTCCTGCAGCGCTGGCACCTGTGTCTCCTGCTGGGACAGGCATGGGTCACCCCAGGGCCACCCCAAGCACAGCACTGGAAGTACATAGCACCAGGTGTGGACAGGACTGTCAAGTTGAGAGGCCTGAGCAGCAGTGCCCTCCTACCCCTGGTATCCTCGAATGCCATCCCTAGACTTGCATCCCAGGGACAGGGAGATGCTCACTCCCACCTGTGCAGGCCTGTGTCCTTGCCAGTGAGTTTCACAGCAAAAGAACCAGGACAGCAAAGGACCTGGAAAGCTACCCTCTTGGCATCATGGGATGTGGCAGGCTCTCAGGACAGCAGCTTAGAGCAACAAGGTGATTGGAAGTCCTGGGAGGGCACTGGGGTTGGCAGTGGAGCACAGAGGGAATGTGAGGGGCTCAGGCTGAATCCCAAGGGCACTGGGGAGCTATGGGAGGTGGGTGAGCTGCGGAGGGCCTTGTCTGGTTTCCAAATGGAAAATAACAACACATTCCAAGCCTCCCATGGTCTGTGGGAGGAAGGGGTCCTCCCCAAGATGTAGGGCAACTCCAGCTACTCCCCAACATCATTGCCTAGCTTTACGGTAGGAAAGTCGTACCTCAAACATGGTGGTGATGTCTGAGTACTTGGACTTCATGAGCTCGCCCCAGGAGGTGAGGTTGCAGTAGGTGAGGATGCCCCCTGGCTTCAGCAGGCGAAAGGCATGGTTCTAGGGGACAGTAGTCAGAAGGGCAGTTGAGGTGTGGACAGACCCCCCATGGGCTGCTGCACCCTAGCAAGGTGGGAAAGAGGGGTGCCTGGTGCCTACTTTGATGAAGTTGAACTGGTGCGTGTGCCAGGTCTCCTCTGACAGTGGGTACGTGTCGTACAGGATCCCTGCATGGGGGACACCAGCCGGACCGTTCAGGGTCACTCAGCAGCCTCAGCCTGCTCATCCCAGAGCGGGAAGGCCAGACCACCCAAATGCCCATCTGCCTGCCTGCCAGGCCCTCCTGTGTCCCTGCCCACCCAGGCTCTGTCCCCCAAGAGCACAGCAGAGAGTGGTGCCACTGCAGGCAGAGGCTCCACATCCCCCATCGGGTGTCCTCCCCATCCTGCTCCCAGAGCCCCTCACCATCAAAGTGACCATCCGGTAGTGTGGGTGCCACATCCTCCCACAGGCCTTTCAAGGGTGTAACCTGGGGGGGAGGAAAACAGGGTGAAGGGCAGAGAGGCCCTCAAGACCTATCCACCTGCAGAAAAGGATTCCCAAGGGAGACGACCACCCTTCATCCAGGCCCCAGGAGCCCAGCTAGCGGGCGGCACCTTGTGTGGCTGCTGCTGGGCCCAGGTCTGGAGCCGCTGGAAGACGCCATCATTACACTCAATGATCCAATGCTCGGTGATGGGGGCCTCCTGCACCTTTGAGGCTGCAATGGCCATGCCGAAGCCCACCTCCAGGACCCGGCCCCCTGTGCAGACAGACAGAAGGCCCGGGCATCACACGCTGGGCCCAGGTGGGCAGCTGCCTGGCGGATGGGGCACTGGGGAGGGGCCCTGCCTGTGGGTCATGTTTGCCACAAGGACAGGTGTAACAGCTGTCCTGTGCCAGCCCTGGCCAGTGACCAGAGAGAGGTGGCGAGCCGGGTAGGACTTGCACAGCTGGGTTTGGGCCCAGCCCCTGGAGGCGGGGAGGGGGGAGCTCTGGACTTTGAGCCCAGGCCTACGCTGTTTGTACTGGTGGCTCTTATCGCTCTAGTTGGCTACTTTTCTGTCCCCTTTCCTCCTTCCAGCTTGCAAGGGCAAGGCCTGAAGAGACCAGGGAGGGGATGGTCTGCTTCCTCCCTCCTCTTGCCACTCTGCTCAGGGACAACAAATGTGTGCATTTGCCAGGTGGGAACACTGAGGCCCGGCACCCGGGTGCCACACGCTCTGGACAGGCCTGTGGAGCTGAGGGAGCCCTGGGCACCCCTTGGGCCACGGCTGGCCAGTGCAGAACCACCCCACCAGACAGCTGTCTCCCTAGCTCTGCTTTCCCCAGCTATTCTTAGCCACTGGCGCGGCCTCCCAGGCTAGACTGAGCAGCCTCCTGCCCCACGTCCCAAAGCCCAGATCCTCCGCCCTTGCCGCAGATGAGGGCCCGCAACACCAATTTCCACCCTGGAGCGGTGCGTCTGAGGACACAGCTTAGGGAGGAGCTCTTATCTCCCCGGAGGAGTAAATTCCAGGTCCCACCGTGAGCGGGGTCGAGGTAGCGGGGCTGTGCCTGCGCCCCTCTCCTTTACTGCCTCCGGTACACTACTGGCAGCTCCATTAGCCAGGCGAGGAAACCGAGGCACACAGAGATGCTAGAGCACCTGGGTTGGACCTGAGGTTGCCCCAGCCTCAGTTTACCCCGCGCCAGCGCGGGCGGGAGCTACCTCTGGAGGAGGCGGCGGCCGCCAGCGAGTGCATGTAGGGCGTCTCCCACCGCTCCATCACCGGCTTGCCCAGGATCTCCAGGTGTGTGTCGGTCACATTGTAGGCGGCTGGCGCCGCGCGCCATGCAGGGGCGCAGTCCTCGCCCGGCACGAAGAGCGGGTCGGCGGCGGGTAGGCTCATGTCGGAGCCCAGCGAACCCAGGCT